TAAAATAAGAAAAAGTCAACAAATAAATAGCCTCATACTACATCTCAAAGCCCTAGAAAAAGAAGAACAAATCAGTAGCAAAAAAAAATGGTAGAAGGCAAGAAATAATTAAAATTAGAATGAAATTGAAACAAAAGAAACAACTGAAAAAATTGACAAAACAAAAAGTTGGTTCTTTGAAAAAATAAATAAAATTGACAGACCCTTAGCCACGCTAATGAAGAGAAGGAGAGAGAGAACTCAAATTACCAGCATTCGTAATGAAAAAGGTAATATCACAACAGACACTACAAAATACAGAGGATAATTAGAAATTAGTTTGAAATCTTATACTCAATAAAATAGATGACATTGAAGGCATCAACAAATTTCTTAAGTCACATAATTTGCCAGATTGAGTCAGGAAGATATACATAATTTAAACAGACCATCTAACATTGACTATCTAACATAGACTATCTAACATTGTAGTATTATTTCCCCACATTTACACATTAGAGGATCCAGGCCCAGAAAAGTTAATTTCTTAAAAGCAGATTCCCAATTACATTGCAAATTCACGAACTTACATATTATATATTACTACTCTCTTATTAATTAGGTTATAATCTTGAGCAAATTGTTGATCTCCTACATCTCAGTTGCACTAGTTATCAGATAAGGTTTTTTCACTGGGCAATCTTCCTAGGATGCTTGGTAGCTCTAAGGCCTTATTTTCAATACCAGAACATTTTGGATTTTCTTATAAATAAACAACGTGTGTGACTTCTCACTGCTTTTCTTTTTAATATGGTAAACAAAGTCAAAACATACTTACATAAAGAATGACAGAAAGGATAAGGTGGAGTCATGTTAGTGAGTATGAAGTAAGAAAAATAGGTACACAAGAAAAAAGATGAATTTAATGTCAGCATACTAGTATAAATTATTTTTTGGGAAAAATATCATGAAATGTTTTATGTTCACATAACCCACAAGAATTCTGCTCTCACTTGCCTAAAGGAATCTTAATGGTAAGTTGTAAGGGCCCTAAATTATGCAGCTTAAAAAATTAAACACTTAGTCAATACTTCATATTTCATTATCCTAAGTAGAACAAGATATTATTCAATTATGCCATAAAATAATTAACATATGGCTTCTACATCTAAATGATCTGAATAAATTCATTATTAAATTTCATTCTTGAAACTATGGATAATATTAAGATAGTGGTAATCAATATTAGGTTCTGTTGATATGCCATACAAATATTCCTTATCTTCTTTAACTACTTAAGAAATTAAATAGGAACCACTGAAAGAAATCTTAACACAGTTTTTGATAAATACAAATGATTTAGGGTTTTAGATGGTCCAAAAAGACMAATAATTAAACATTGGAATTCTCCTAAATAACTGCAGGAGTTGTATTTTTACCTTGGAAAACTTTCATCTGTGAAACAACTCTGGCTTCAAACAGAAGGGCTATAATAAAACATCTCCTAGCTAGACTGAGGTTCAAGAGGTTCATGGTAGTGAACAGCAGAAAAGATGAAATGTTTCAATAAGCCCCTCAGGCTGATTTAGTTAGCATTCACAAAGTGAAATAACCTATACATCACATACCCTTTGTTAGCTTGTTGTTTAGAATAGATGTATGAGTCACTGGATTTTATTTTAGTAGTTGGGCAATGCAATTCTCCTTTTGCCCAAAATATTAAAATGCAGAAATGTGAAACTAAGAGAGGTAATGTCAAATCTCATATAGGTTGCTTATCAACCACTGTGATGGATCAAGAAGTTCTTTTGCTCTTGTCATTCCATGTTTCACCTTGGTAGGCACAGATAGTATAGYATCTCAAGGAAAAAAAATCTATTATTATACTAACAAGCAAACCGCAGTGTGTGTGGTTTATACACACACACACACACACACACACACACACACACACATACACACATATATTTTTAACTGTGTGAAGAGAAACAGTGCTGGGGGGGGGGATGTCTGCAAAACCAGAAGAACTAACATTAGAGAAGAATAGGCAAGATTCTACCCTGAATCACTTCAGATACAAATGAATCCCTCTGGGAGTCTGGGGTGGGGTGGGGAGAAAACATATTTCTTTCTTTCTTCTTACTACTTGGAATTAATGAAGGTACCTGCAACAATGCTGGCAAGTTGCTGGGTTCTTGTGATGGGGTATATGCTACGTGCTTGAACGATTGCTGAAGCAATTTTCTTGGCATGCTTCTCCTCCCCGTATGCTCTTAGGATGGATGCAAGTGCCTGCTGATCTAAAGCATTCACAACGTCAGCAGCTGTAGGCATGTCTGGGTACCTACACACAAAAAGAACCAATTAGTTCACTGACATCAATATTCGTTGACAAGAGGTAAAAACTTAAGAGTACTAGGATATAAAGTCAAACACACAAAAAACACATGCTAGGAGAGTTTCTGAGTTTTTTTAAACATTTTTTTTAGCTGTAGATGGACACAATACATTATTAATTCACTCATTCATTCATTTTTATGTGGTGCTGAGAATCAAACTCAGGCTTCACATGTACTAGGTAAGTGCTCTACCATTGAGCTACAAACCCAGCCCAGTTTCTGAGATATTAAAGTTTGAGAATGAAATCTAACACAAATAAAATAGATTCTCCATTTCAAATGCTCATCTTTATGGCAAGGGTCAGGGGTACTGTTTCTAACATCTATCAAGGTCAAAGCATATGGAAGTTAAAAATATATTATTAACCATTAACCTTAATTCATAGAGGAAGTATTATTATGTCTGTAGATTTGTATTTTTTCAAACTAAAATAAAGTAAAATGTTTAAGTCCTTTGGGTATATACCAAGGAATAGGATAACTGGCTCAAATGGTGGTTCCATTCCAAGTTTTCTGAGGAATCTCCCTACTGCTTTCCATTATGGTTGCACAAATTTGCAGCCCCACAAGCAATGTATGAATGTGCCTTTTTCCTCACCTGTATTTATTGTTACTTGTACTCTTGATAATTGCCATTCTGAATGGAGAAAGATGAAATCTCAGTTAGTTTTAATTTGCACTTCTCTGATTGTTACTGCTGATGAACAYATATTTTTTGACCATTTGCATTTCTTCTTCTTTAAAGTGCCCGTTCAGTTTCTTAGTCCATTTATTAATTGGGTTATTTGTTATTTTTTATGGTATTAAGTTTTTTGATTACTTTGTATATTCTGGAGATTAATGCTCTATATGAGGTGCAGGTGGCAAAGATTTTCTCCTATTCTTTGGCTTTTACTTTTACATTCTTGATTGTTTCCTTTGCTGTGAAGATTTTTAGCTTGTTA